TGCAGGCTCATGTCCTAATGGGGGAAACAGAAATAGCAGAGTTACTGAAACAATGGAATAAAGTGGATGTCTGGAGACATGAGTTTCCAAAGCCATTATCTACATTGTGTTCTCTAGCCAAGTCCCCTCACATGCATGGACTTCAGTTTCCTTATTGAAAAAGAAAAAAAATCCAAACAAGTACAACAGTCTTTGACTCTGCAATAAAAGCTCAGTGATTTCCATTTGAGTTTAATGGTTCTTCTGCATGACTATGTCATAGAAATGAAGGTATATACAAAAAGGTTCCGGGAGGGGCAGTTTTTCACTTTACTTCTCATTGTTGAATAAACATCAGAGTAGTTCCAGATGTTTAATAAATAGAATTTTACAAATATCAATCAAGATACAGTGTTTTCTAAATTGTGACTCAAAAAGATAACTTGGTATCCTTTACTGTTATTCTTATCATTTCTTGTGTCAGTTTCTTCCGATTTTTGTTAAAAATCTCAACCCAAATTCTCTTTAGTCTGTAACAAACATGGTCTAGACTGTTTTGTCCACATCCTAGAGAGATTTCAGCTGAACTTCTTGTTTCTGTGTTTGACTTACAAGTTCATAAAACCAGAATGAATATCACTAGTAATGCATTGTAGTTTGTACATTGACTGTATGAATAGATGTGATCCTGATGGTGAAAATAAAAGTGATGTGCCTGTATATTTTTGTCTTCTATTTATAACCTATTAAATTTTCATTGAGGCACTTTTAACAGAATATTTCAAAAATTATTTTTTTCCATTCTTATACTATAAGAGAATGTCACTTTTAGTGTACTGGCTTTGTGTAGCTGGAGTTTTTGTATTATGTATGTTTTGCATAGTTTGACAACTGGTCTTTTGATTTCTGTTTTGTATGGTTTTCTAAATTGGTTCTGTTTTAATGAAGAATCTAAGAACTGTTTATTAAAAATAATGTGCCAAAAAATAAAAAAGTATGGGGTGTATAATTACATGTTAAATGTACTCATCAGGTCAGAAGTATAAAAACTTGGTGTGATGTTTTCTTTACTCATTTTTAACTTTTGTTTTCTGTTTCAATATACTTTGTGTATGTGTTGTGTGTTAAAACGTACATAACATAAAATTTACCATTTCAGCCATTTTATGTATATAATTCTATGACATTAAGCATATTCACATTTTGTGTTCCTTCTGTGTACTTTTTTTCCCAAAATAAGCAGAGTTTCTCTGAGGCTTATCAATGTGTTATATTAAAAAATGATTTTGTTTGTTGAGTTTTGTTAAGAAACATGCAGCATATCTGACCTTGCTGAACAGATAGCAGAGAAACTAAATGTCAATGGAATTTATAGAAACAGTTTTTCTCATTTAACTTATGTGAACATCTATTCTAATTTTAGTTTAATAAAATATACTTAAAGACCTGAAAATCTTTTACTGGTGTATAAAAAGGAGCCTAATTTAATCATGATTGGTATCTTATTCCTAACAATGGAAAATAACAATGTTGTAGAAAATAATGAAAAACAAATAATATTTGGCTGTTCCCTCCTAGTATTTCAAAGTAATTTCTAAGATTAAAAATCAGTGCTTAAAGCAGGAGATTAGGCAGAAATTATCTTTATGATATGAATATACTAGAAATAATACCTATTGATAAATTGGTGTCTTGTGGTTTAACAAAAGAGTAAAATATTTGTCTCTTGCTTTACTCTTATTGATTCTGATGATTAAATCTTTTATAAAGTGTTGATTTAATTTAAGAAGATGTAGATCCAAAAGGTGAAGTGTTATCTGGAGGTATTCATGGACCATATGTAAATCCAATTTGACTCATTTGGCCTACCTTTTAACTTGTTTAAATGTGATCTCTTCATGGAAAATGGTAATTTGGAAACTTAAACATAGAATGCTGGGAAATAAGATTGAGCCCAATAGCTACTATAGTCCACTGGAATATGAGACCAATCTTTAATTAAGAACAAAGGCATCTCAATGTGCTATTCATCCTATTAGATTTACACTTTTATTTTTTTGTTGTATTTTGCTCCAAGCGAAACTTGAGTTTGAGGGTGAAAGTAGGTCTTCAGCTTCTTCCCTTTATTCAGAGTGAAGAAAGTTAGCTTTGGTAAAAATTGAAAATTCTCCTACTTTATAAAAATCTAGATACATGTTATGGCCATTAAAGTCAATTCAACCACCTGATTGGCTGGAAGCTGAAAAAAATATACCAGCACTGAGACGATACCTCGTTTCTCTTGGAACATGCCCTAAGGACCTGTCTTCCCAATATCTAGATAACTGTGGTAGATTTGCTCATCCCATCATATATTCTTTTGAATTTATCAACAGGGAAGACCTACAGCCAATATTTTTTACCTTCACAGTCCTCTTCCCCACCACCAATCTGCCGAGATCTTCTTGAGGCAAATGAAAGTGTGGGGGTGCAGCACACTGGCAAAGAGGCTATAGTAGTAAAGAAGCTCTGAAGGAGACTGAAGTCTCCTTCTTCCCTGTCCACCAACCACCATTTCTACCCCTCCTCCAAGCGAGCACATAGATAGCATGACCTTTGCAAGAAGAGTGTGATTCTCTCTGGGTCTGGACACTTTTTTTGTTTGGCAGAACTAGAGAAATATTGGAGTCCTGAACCTTTTCCAGCATGTCTTAGTATAAATAATCTTGGCTCTCCTCATCAACAGACAGGCTAATTACTGTTCACACATGCTTTGGCCAGTTTTTAGCTCATTTGGGGGCTTGTAATAACATTGCATTTTGTCTTTGAGAGATGACAACTTGAGAATTGCATCTTTTTCTCTGATTCCGATTTATAAGGTGTGTGGTATAAGTTTTATAATCATGTTGGAATTGCAAGTCAAGGCAAGAAGTAAGCATTGTGGGCAGGCGGATTCTTTCATAGTCTTGATAGAAAACATTTATCGCTTGAAGGCTTATCTAGCTGTGGGGCAAAGTCTTGATTCAAAGAGATAACATCACAAAGAAGAGAAGCTTATAAGAGAGAGCTGTTGTGACAGTGGCAGTTTGTTCTCATAAACAAGCAGTGCCTCAAGTCAAGAGAATAGTGTGAAGAAGGTGACTGCAATTGTACACGCAGGCAGAGGAGCCATGTGGGCATGTAGAGAAGAACTAATTCCCATTTTATGTTTGGTGGGAACTCTTGGAGATTTTATTTCTCTGTTGACAGTAATTCTATTTGAGCATGGTCTTCTATAAAGACAATGCTTAATGTGACATTTCTCATTAGTATAAAAGGCAAGTCAATTGGTTAGTTTTAAAAGCTGAGTCACAGTCTAATTTACCATCACAATTCATGGTTTCCCCTCTTTATTTTACTTGGTAGATTAATCCTATTTCAGCAATGTCATTAGGTGCCTGCTCTCATGGTGTGGAAAAATGCACACAAACATCTGATATTTCTGAGCATGTAGGTTGTGACAAATGTAAACATGTTCTAGTGGAGCACACGTGTATAAACAGCTGAAGATTTATAGTTGTTTCTTAACTTAAGGATGAGGAAATTGACCACTGTGGGATAATTAAAAATAGCAACTTGCTGGAAAAGCAGGAGCTAAGTTGTCAAATACCAGGGCACCATGAGGCAAGATTTTGCAATCTAAACTAGGTAATTTATATCTTTGTTACTTGGAAATCTGATGTATAGTTGACTCAATGAATCATGCCAACAGCATCCTATATCTTAGGCAAATATTGTTTCCTTTTCACTGGCAGAGTTTTAACCAATTGAATAATAAATCACCCTCCTTTTACTTAATCAGAAGATGGACAGACTTATATGGGCAGAGACAACTAAATGAGGCCCCAGGGAAAGGATTCTGTCCTGTTTTCAAAGAATGCCAGTGAAAGAGATGTGCAGGGTTATTATGGTTGTATTTTTCAAACAACGATATCATGGAGCTGTTTAAAAACTATTTTTCACTTATCACTGAAGATTTGTCTAAAGTATTCAGAAGTTAAGAATGAATTAACTTGTTGCTAAGTCCCACCAATGGTCCTTCAGTGATGGGTGTCTAAAGTCAGTCCTCTTCCTTTCAAAAGATCAACCTTATAAGCACATATAGTTTATGAAGGATAGTCATGAGCACTTTCTTGTCTGAGTATCAACCATACTATATTATATGTAACATATTATTTATGTATTATATATAATAATTATAATATAACTATATTATATATAAAATTACTAATTCCTACTTGAAAGGCCAAAATTAAGATTCAGAGAGGCTATATGACTTACTCCAGGTTATATATTTAGCAAGGGGAATACTCACAACTTGAGACTACTTATCTTTGTCCTAAAGACAATTCCCTTTGCACGCTACACTTTGATGCCTCTTTGATAGGTTTATAAAATCAGGTACATGCATTAAGGTACTGTAGGGAAATTTGTTTTGGCAAAATAATTTGAATTTCTAATGTGATTGGAATCATTATTAAATTGAGTGTATGGTATAAACAGAGGAAAGTATAAAGAATATCCAGTTTTAGGTGGCAAGTGGTCAGATGTTCAGTGTAAATGAACTGACAGTGACAGACACAGTACAAGAATAAGGTGAAGCCTATCATCTTATTATGAATGTTCAGAAGACTGGACCTGTATTTTCGGATGGACAATATGTAAGAAGTCCTATATACCCTCGAAGGAAACAGCCACAAGGAATATTTAACCTACTTAAAATAGACTAGTCTGAATGAAGTTTGATGTCCTGTTGGTAGAGGTTCTTAAAAAGTATGCTCAAATGAGCAAATAACATTGATTTATACTTAATACTTTAATTCAAAGGACACACAGTCATTTAAAAATAAGCTTCTTTCAGAGTCTAATAACGTGAAAATTTCACTTTTCTAAAACAGCAAAAAGGTAAATCTTTGGCTAGCCTCTGTTCAAATAATCACACTAGCTGAGTGGAATTGGAGAAGTCCATAGAGTATGTGTGTATTTTCTAAAGGAGGCTGATTCATTCTTTTCAAATTATTTTACAGGATCCTTCAAACCAAAAATGCGGTGGGAGAAAGAAAACGGTGTCATTCAGCAGCATGCCATCGGAAAAGAAAATTAGCAGTGCGCATGACTGCATCAGCTTCATGCAGGCCGGCTGCGAGCTGAAGAAAGTCCGGGCAAATTCTCGCATTTACAACCGTTTTTTCACTCTGGACACAGACCTCCAAGCTCTTCGCTGGGAGCCATCTAAGAAAGACCTTGAGAAAGCAAAGCTTGATATCACGGCCATCAAAGAGATCCGACTGGGGAAGAACACGGAGACATTCAGAAACAATGGCCTTGCTGACCAGATTTGCGAGGACTGTGCCTTTTCCATACTCCACGGGGAAAACTATGAGTCTCTGGACCTAGTCGCCAATTCAGCAGATGTGGCAAACATCTGGGTGTCTGGGTTACGGTACCTGGTTTCTCGCAGTAGGCAGCCCCTTGACTTCATGGAGGGCAACCAGAACACACCACGGTTCATGTGGTTGAAAACAGTGTTTGAAGCAGCAGATGTTGATGGGAATGGGGTTATGTTGGAAGACACTTCTGTAGAGTTAATAAAACAACTCAACCCTACCCTGAAGGAGTCCAAGATCAGGTTAAAGTTTAAAGAAATCCAGAAGAGCAAAGAAAAGCTAACTACCAGAGTGACAGAAGAGGAATTTTGCGAAGCGTTTTGTGAACTTTGCACCAGGCCAGAAGTGTATTTCTTACTTGTCCAGATCTCTAAAAACAAAGAATACTTAGATGCCAATGATCTCAGGCTTTTTTTAGAAGCTGAGCAAGGAGTCACCCACATCACTGAGGACATGTGCTTGGACATCATTAGGAGACACGAACTTTCTGAGGAAGGGCGTCAAAAAGGGTTTCTGGCAATTGATGGCTTTACTCAGTATTTATTGTCACCAGAATGTGACATTTTTGATCCTGAGCAAAAGAAGGTTGCTCAGGATATGACCCAGCCCTTATGTCACTACTATATCAATGCCTCTCATAATACCTATCTAACAGAAGACCAGTTCAGAGGACCAGCTGACATCAGTGGTTTTGTGAGGGCTTTGAAAATGGGCTGTCGTAGCCTGGAACTTGACGTGAGTGACGGTTCAGATAGTGAGCCAATCCTTTGCAACAGAAATAACATGACAACACACCTTTCCTTTCGAAGTGTCATAGAGGTGATTGATAAGTTTGCCTTTGTTGCTTCTGAGTACCCACTCATTCTTTGCTTGGGGACTCACTGCTCCCTACCACAGCAAAAGGTCATGGTTCAGCAGATGAAAAAAGTCTTCGGCAATAAACTCTATACTGAAGCACCTTTGCCATCAGAATCCTACCTCCCGTCACCTGAAAAATTAAAAAGAATGATCATTGTGAAAGGTAAGAAATTGCCTTCTGATTCAGATGTATTAGAAGGAGAAGTAACAGATGAAGATGAAGAGGCTGAAATGTCTCGAAGGATGTCAGCAGATTACAATGGTGAGCAGAAACACATTTGGCTCTGTAGGGAGCTCTCTGATTTGGTATCTATTTGTAAATCTGTTCAGTACAGAGATTTTGAACTGTCTATGAAAAGCCAAAACTATTGGGAAATTTGTTCGTTTAGTGAAACAGAGGCTAGCCGAATTGCAAATGAATATCCAGAGGATTTTGTAAATTATAATAAGAAGTTCTTATCAAGGATCTATCCAAGTGCCATGCGGATTGATTCCAGTAACTTGAATCCACAAGATTTTTGGAATTGTGGCTGCCAGATTGTGGCAATGAATTTTCAGACTCCAGGTCCCATGATGGATCTTCACACTGGCTGGTTTCTTCAAAATGGAGGATGTGGTTATGTTCTAAGACCATCTATCATGCGAGATGAAGTTTCTTACTTTAGTGCAAATACAAAGGGCATTGTTCCCGGGGTGTCTCCTTTGGCTCTTCACATCAAGATCATCAGTGGCCAGAATTTCCCAAAGCCCAAGGGAGCTTGTGCCAAAGGGGATGTCATAGATCCCTATGTCTGTATAGAGATACATGGAATTCCAGCCGACTGTTCTGAACAAAGAACTAAAACTGTACAGCAAAACAGTGATAATCCTATTTTTGATGAAACTTTCGAGTTTCAAGTAAACCTTCCTGAGCTGGCCATGATCCGTTTTGTTGTTCTGGATGATGACTGCATCGGTGACGAGTTTATAGGACAGTACACAATACCCTTTGAATGCTTGCAGCCTGGATATCGGCATGTGCCCCTCCGCTCCTTTGTGGGTGACATCATGGAGCATGTGACCCTTTTTGTCCACATAGCAATAACCAATCGAAGTGGAGGAGGAAAGGCACAGAAGCGCAGCCTTTCAGTGAGAATGGGGAAGAAAGTTCGGGAGTACACCATGCTTAGGAATATCGGTCTTAAAACCGTAGATGACATCTTCAAAATAGCAGTTCATCCCTTACGAGAAGCCATAGATATGAGAGAAAACATGCAGGTAGGAAAAAAAATTACACTCTCTTCCCCTACCCTTGTTTTTTCCTACCCTTCTTTTCCCAGGGTTTTGCTAATGATTTGATTTGCAAAAAATTATCAGAAATGTTGTATAAACTTATGTACCATAGAAGAACTATATTCAATATTATCTGTGAGAAAGCAGATATAGTTTGTTTCTAACTATGAGCGCTATGGTAAGTTTGGCCTGATCTAAGAGTATCAGTGTGGCAAAATACTGTGCATCTACTAAGTATAGTTAGTACATAAAATAAATATATTAGTATATAAAATAGATATGTGAAAGTGTAAATATGAAATGGTGTGAACAGTGGAAGATATAAAGTACATATACACTCATACTAATTAAATGTATATATATATTTCAAATATGAATATGGAAGAGAATTTGAAAACATAAAATAAACATAATTCCTATTAGATTTTTTAGTTGTTTAAATGTTTATAATAATAGCAATAATAAATTATTATCCAAGAACAAGAAAAACTAAGCAAACAAAATTCAGCACATAAACTCATTGAAAACTATTTAGCTTTCTTTTAGAAATGTGGTTTAATTGAAAGAAAATGGATTAATATTAAGTCTATTCCTCGGTAATCTTGAGCAAATTAGCTCAGGTCTCTGTCGATTTTCTCTGCTTAAGGTAAAATACTTATACTTACAAAACAAGGTTGTTATGAGTATCTGGAACTTGCCGAGTTTTAACATGGAGAAATTCAGTGTTATTTTCCTTCTCTTTTTTAATGCATTTAGTCAGAGAGAGTTACAGATTTGCTTCATACTACTTAATATACTTATTCTAGGCATGTGTTACTGAGAAGCTGTCAAACAACAAATATTTGCTAAGCACTTGCAGTGTGCACAGGGAATATCATTCAGTTCACTTTGTCTTTACCTAATGTTTCTTAATAACCCTCACTCCCAAATCTGTGCTTGCAAATACAAATGTACTTGAAGAGGTTCACTAATTTCTCAAACATTGCAGTTAATAAATAACGCTGGACTTTATGTTCAATAGTGTCTAATACAAAAACCCACTTTAGTTCACGTGACACAGAACTACAAATCCATGACTTAGTGAAAACTTTATTTTTATGTTACCTCACATAGAAGTTCTGGGAGACAGATATGAAGCCACACAACTATAACCAACTTGTCTTTGACAAAGGAGCTAAAAATATACGATGGAGAACTAGCAGCCTCTTCAACAAAACTGCTGGGAAACTGGTTAGCAGTCTGCAAAAAACTGAAACTAGATCCATGTATATCACCCTATACCAAGATTAACTCAAAACGGATCAAGGATCTAAATATCAGACCACAAACTCTAAAGTTGATACAGGAAAGAGTAGGAAATACTCTGGAGTTAGTAGGTATAGGTAAGAACTTTCTCAATGAAACCCCAGCAGCACAGCAACTAAGAGATAACATAGATAAATGGGACCTCATAAAACTAAAAAGCTTCTGTTCATCAAAAGAAATGGTCTCTAAACTGAAGAGACCACCCACAGAGTGGGAGAAAATATTTGCCAGCTACACATCAGACAAAGGACTGATAACCAGAATATATAGGGAACTTAAAAAACTAAATTCTCCCAAAACTAATGAACCAATAAAGAAATGGGCAAGTGAACTAAACAGAACTTTCTCAAAAGAAGAAATTCAAATGGCCAGAAAACACATGAAAAAATGCTCACCATCTCTAGCAATAAAGGAAATGCAAATTAAAACCACACTAAGATTCCACCTCACCCCTGTTAGAATAGCCATCATCAGCAACACCACCAACAACAGGTGTTGGTGAGGATGCGGGGAAAAAGGAACCCTCTTACACTGTTGGTGGGAATGTAAACTAGTACAACCACTCTGGAAAAAAATTTGGAGGCTACTTAAAAAGCTAGACATTGATCTACCATATGATCCAGCAATACCACTCTTGGGGATATACCCAAAAGACTGTGACACAGGTTACTCCAGAGGCACCTGCACACCCATGTTTATTGCAGCACTATTCACAATAGCCAAGTTATGGAAACAGCCAAGATGCCCCACCACTGACGAATGGATTAAGAAAATGTGGTATCTATACACAATGGAATTTTATGCAGCCATGAAGAAGAACGAAATGTTATCATTGCTGGTAAATGGATGGAATTGGAGAACATCATTCTGAGTGAGGTTAGCCTGGCCCAAAAGACCAAAAATCGTATGTTCTCCCTCATATGTGGACATTAGATCAAGGGCAAACACAACAAGGGATTGGACTTTGAGCACATGATAAAAGCAGCACACAAGGGAGGGGTGAGGATAGGTAAGACACCTAAAAAATTAGCTAGCATTTGTTGCCCTTAACGCAGAGAAACTAAAGCAGATACCTTAAAAGCAACTGAGGCCAATAGGAGAAGGGGACCAGGAACTAGAGAAAAGGTGAGATCAAAAAGAATTAACCTAGAAGGTAACACCCACACACAGGAAATCAATGTGAGTCAATGCCCTGTATAGCTATCCTTATCTCAACCAGCAAAAACCCTTGTTCCTTCCTATTATGGCTTATACGCGCTCTACAACAAAATTAGAAATAAGGGCAAAATAGTTTCTGCTGGGTATTGGGGGGAGAGGGAGGGGGCGGAGTGGGTGGTAAGGGAGGGGGTGGGGGCAGGGGGGAGAAATGACCCAAGCCTTGTATGCACATATGAATAATAAAATAATTAAAAAAAGAAAAAAAAAAGAAGTTCTGGGAGAGACTTAAAGTAGATTTTAAATACTCCAAACAGTGGGAAGTATAATAACAGATCACATTTAAATAGTCAGATCATAAATATTTGACTCCAGGTGGTTTGCCCTTGCCACTGTTTTAAAAAAATAGGCTCTGTATATCAGAATGTGGTATTTTCTGACATAATTCTAGCACTGTTGTAAATCTCTGCATTAGATTAGTTATAAGTCATTTTTATGTCTATATTAGAAGTAGATTTTAAATATTTCTACCTAATTCTTGAACTATAACCTTTACATCTCATGTATTTAGAATATATGTTAAGAAGAGCTGGTTATGACGCTTATTCAGGTAGTGCCAATAATTTATATTATCTTAACATAAAATATTAGGGGTTAAGGATTATTTGGAGCTTAAGCAATAGAAAAATAAATACCATTATTATCACTAAATCATGAAACATTTAATAGGCTAGAAACTATTCCTTGTTGATAAAATGTAAAAATAGTAATAATTCCTATTTCAAAATGCTTTCTTTAAAAATGACTATAATGTGGACAAAGGTAGCTGTCCACACAGTGCATTTTTGGTGTGTGTGAGGCACATTTCTGACAGGATGACAAAGGAACATTATTGCTGGTTAGTCACATGGTGGATGGGGAGCAATGACAGCCCAAACAAGAGGCTTCCAATATACACTGCCATTATGTTTTCCTGATCATCATGATATAAGTCCAGGAAGAGCTATTCATGTCCAGCCTGGGCTAGTTTGTGTGACTGTTCCAGTGTTCTGCTTTAAAAGTAGCTTTGGGGCACAATCTGCTTTACTTTTGTCACATATTTGTACGTCTACTAAACATTGAGAAAGATGAAGGGTCCATCCTATGAATTAGCTCATTGGCATGTGATGTGCTAGGTTGGTTGTAATCTGCTTTGCTCCATATTCTACATGTGTTTAAGGGTACACTTTTATGCATATGCTTGCATGTAAACCTTGGGGTACTGGGGTGCTGTGCCATGTGGTCACACATGCAATTCCATGTCTTCTTCCCACAGAACACCATAGTGTCTATTAAGGAGCTGTGTGGACTCCCTCCGATTGCCAGTCTGAAGCAGTGCCTGTTAACCCTGTCCTCACGTCTCATCACCAGTGACAATGCTCCATCAGTCTCTCTTGTGATGAAAGATGGTTTTCCTTGCCTGGAGCCTCTGGGTGCCATTCCAGATGTGCAGAAGAAGATGCTGGCTGCTTATGATCTGGTAGGAAACCAGAACTCCATACATAACTCTTGTCTCTATGTATGGAAAATCTCTAATGGCTGGGGTCATTTGTGGAACTGCAGTGACTAGCACAGAGTGACTGCCTATAAAACACAGGTTGGAGGTAGGCCAGAGCAAGCTGCTCAGCTTCCACTACGTCCCAGTGGAGACTTCTGAGGAAATGCCTTGAACCTGGAGCTCCACAGATTGCAAATGGAAAAATTTCTGCCTTAGCAAAGAATGCAGATATTTCACAAATCCTCAAAAATATGTACCCTCACCATGTGAATGACTTTAGCCTACAGTTTAACCCTTTGCTTGTATAAGGGTAAATGTATGCCTCAGTGTTGCCTTATGGTGGCTGAGACAGAAGATTTCTCTGGAAACTAGATTTCTAAGCTAATACCTTCATCTGATTTTTCATATAATGGATTTTTGTAGTAATGAGGTTTGAGAATAACGACATTTCTGCATTTTCTAATTCTATAAACAAAATTAAGAAATAAATTTCTAATGTATATGCTAGATAAAGTATAAATATATGTAAAGTAGAAAGAACACTTACAAATCAATAAGAAGAAATGATACAGGAAAAATCTTATATCAACCAAGATTAAGCCTAGTTGCAATACAGCAAAAAATGCAACCTAATCATAGCTTATAAACACCAAGTTCATTTCACGCAAAAGTCTAGAGATCAATCATCCAGGGAAAATTTTTCTGCAAAATTCTTAGGAACCCAGGCTCGTAAGTTTTTACTCCCCTATCCCTAGAGTACAGCCCTTATTCTTATGGAACAACTATAATATCTACACTTCAGCCATCAGGAATAAGGAGGAGGATAAACCCTCTTCCTTTAAGGACATTTCTCTGAAATTACATAGATAACTTTTGCTTACACCATCAACATGGCATTGATACATAGCTATATTTGTTTGCAAAGAAGAATCAGAAATGTCTTTCAAGAGACTATGTACTAAAACTAGTCTCTTCTGTTGCTTAGGTCTAGAGGAAGAAAGGATATTAGGGGCTAATAAACAAACTTTGCTACAGAGGTTAACAGGCAATTCACCCCTTTTTCCCTAAAAAAACAATGAAAATGTAAAACATATTTAACCTTAAAATGAGTTTCTAATTAAAGAAGTTAAGAAACATATAAGCGAGTCATGATGGCGTGCACTGGTAGTCCTTAATACTCAGGAGACTGAAATAGGCGGATCACTTGAGTCCAGCATTTCAGCCAGCCTTGACGATATAACAAGACTCATCCCTTAAAAAAAAAAGGCAGAAAGAAAAGAAAATGTAGTACGATAGTCTCCATTTCCATCAAATTAGCATGCTTTTTTCTTTTTAGACATTAGTACTTTTGACTAAGAATTTAAGGAAATTATTGCTTTAACACATCTGCCTCTAGTGGGAAAATAAATTAATACATAATTTAGAGAAAAAAATGATAGCAAAATGTTCATTCATTTACTCTACATATTTATCTCCCTTGGATATATTATAAGATAACAGAGATGTGGATAAATATTTATTTTGAATATGTCAGTATAGAGGGATTAATTAAACAAAATATAATAATCCATAAATAGCCTCATTTGAAGCCATCAAAGGCATGTGTTAAAAGAATATATAATAATATGGTTGCAGAACCTAGGCACAATAAAATTTAATTATACCTAAAATAATAGCAAGATATAAGCAGTGATTATTTTTGTATGAGATTAAATTTTATTTTCTTGTTTCTGTTTTGCTATACTTTTTCTGTATTTGCCAGACTCTTTACTATGTATGTGATCAGTTTTATAATTGAGTAAAACTAAAATGTAAGGAAAAAAAAGATTAATATTTTATCCTTAAAAAATTACTAGAATTAAGACATTTGGGATAAGAATATTACAACTGAGATGGAAAAGCTTTCACAGAGCACATTCTGCTCATGAGTGACTGTACTGGTTATAAACAGTACTCCATGCTGCTAGGGGAAAAGTTCATGTATTGCCTGTGTCATATTTTTCATGAAATCAATTTTTTCATCATAAAAGTGGGAATTGAAAGCCATTCAGTGAATAGGTATAATTGCCATCTAAGAGGTGAAATTAGGGTACTAGTTGCCATAGAGACAGACAGTAGACATCACTTATCCCTTGTAAGCTCAGAAAGGAAAATCAGTCATTGAGAAGGGCGTGGGGGCCCCTAGAGCTGGGGCAGCAGGACTGTGTCTGGGCAATTTCTTCTTTGCATCTCAAGGGTCTGGTGGTGTTCTGTCTTAATTTTAGTTGCTAAAGCCAAATCTGAACATTAGCCTTTTTCTCATCTGTTTTTTAAAAATGAATGTTGTAATTGCAGGCTAAGCATGGTCTTCCAAAACTTAAAATAGAATGCTATCATGGAAGCAGAACTATGTATAGTAAAGTCTTCATTTATAGTTCCCTGTGGAAATGACTCCACATTTAGTAGGGAACTGAGGGTAAAAATCCCTGCACCAAATGATAAACTCAATACACCTCAGAGGTGATTGAAAATCCTATTGATGGCTTGGTTAAATATTTCTCTTTGGGGTGTATGGGGTAGGGAGAGGTGCATGTAATGAAAATAAAAACATCATTTTCACTTTTTAGGACTTGCATTGTATTGGTCGGCATCTTTAATTCTCTAATGGCTTCCCGTTATCATAAAATTGAAAGTCTTGTGTGGTTTTACAGGATTGCCTATGACCTTCCCTGCCCCTCCAACCCCACCCCCCACTCCGGGCTCCTCTAGCCATGCTGACTTTCTTTCTTTCTTCAGACCAAGGTTGTCCCCTTCTCAGGACATTGAAATCACATTGTGCTTATCTTGGGGATGTTCTTCCTGGGCATGGAGAGTTGCTTCTTGTCTCTCAATTCTTAGCCCAGATGACATTTCCTGAGATAAGCCTTTCCTAACCACTGCCCTCTTCTGCCCTCTATTACATAGGTATGTGCTTTCCCATCATCTGATTTAGAAGAATTGAACAATAATTTGCTTGACCTTTTTGAAAAAATCTTTTACCTTCCATTTTGTCCTTTGAATGTATATTCCAGAAAGACAGAGACCCTGTCTGCTTGCTCCTGTTATCTCCAGCATTTAAGACAGTGTTTCAAATAGTTTGTTATCAATTAATTTTAGTTGAATAAAAAACACTGCAGCTCATTCTATAATTGAATGCGCCTTATGGTTGACCATTAAAATCCTTAGGTTTTACCTTTCTAATGCCAGCCTTGTATGATTGCGCCCTCTCTAAGTTAAAAACTTAGAGTCAGGTGGAACTGTGGAGATAGTGGTAAGATCAGTGGGTGTCGGGTGGGGGCTCAGGATGAGCTGGTGCAGGCCTGAGGATTTTCAGGACAGTGAATCTATACTGTATGATATTACATGTCATTATACATTTGTCAGAACCTGTGGAAAGTCCAACACAAAGAGTCATTCCTGATGTGAACTATGGACTTTAGCTAGTGACAATGTATCAATACTGTTTTATCAGTTGTAATAAATATACCACATTAATACAAAATGCAGACAGTAGGACAAATGGGCAGGGGGAGGGGAGGAGAGGAGAGAATATATGAGAACCCTCTGTACTTTCCACTCAATTTTCATGTAACTTAAAACTTCTCATAAAAATAAAGTCTAAAAAATCCCTACTTTTTTTTTACCATTAATAAAAACTTATTTGGATGAATAAGGCAGAAAAATCTGGAGTTTATTGGCAAGGGGTGGGGGCAAGGATTCCAAAATGAGCAGTTTAGCTTCAACTTAGATTCAAATTGCTTAAATGTTTGGATTTCCAAAAAATGGTAATGAAGTACACATATGCCATCCCATAAGAACAATTTCAACCAACTAACAAGTACAGAATATGTTTAGAATAAAAACCCTAAAATCCTTTCAGGAGAGGCACAAATGTTTGCCTTATTTCAGTATGGATAGAATCAAGTCAGGCAACCAAGCAGCCTACATTTATTGAAAGCCAACTTCAGTGCACCAAGTTAGGCTACTTAGCAAGGAAAGATAAGATTAAAATATTCTTGAACACATCAATCCTGAATTCATCTGCACAGATTTTTTTTCTAAATTTACCTTTCTGCAATGACCTGAGATGACCATTATTCATTACCAAACATTTGGTCATTTAATATTTAGAAATATTTCCTTCTGAGGGTTTTAAAATTCAGCCTTAAAAGTAATTTTGATATTACTGTTGCAATTATAATTCTGTTATACCAATTGCATTGATACCAAGAAATCAAAAACCAAACATATTCATAGTAGAAAGGGCCTATTTACTTGGCATAATTTCAGAAGACTGGGGAGTCCCACCCCCTAATCATGTTTTCTATATGTGCCCCTGGTAGTTCAAATTTCAAAATTACAACCAATTCCTTAGGGCTAAGACTTTTTTTTTAACCTTTTTAAAATGTAAAACATCTCTGTGAGTTGTAACACCTTGGGTTATCAGTAATTTATTCATCTCTATGAATGAATTTAGTAGATCCTGTTCTACCAGCAGGTTTTTACCCTGGGAAAGGCAGAAATCATGACAGAGGGTTTCCTGAGCCTGTGTAAGGAAGGTAGGTAGGGCTGCACAAAGAATCACAGTTTTGTTGAGAGCAGCCTTTCTGCTGTCTCCTTTATTATCCTGAATGGGGATGTGCCTATGTAATGCCTATGTGAGAATTAGAGCAACTGAAGCAGAGGTGACTATCTTGCTAGGAGACTCATGTCACGGCTGGAAGGGGAAGTGTGCTAGAGGGACCTGGGAATATTATCAATCCATAACTCAGGCAAGCAAAAAGGCCCTGAGAGTTAAATGTGGAATTGAAGCCTTCTTCCCACACTAAAGACACAGAAAGGAGAGCTGTTGGCATGAGACTCTTAGCTGTGGTGCTGTTTTGGTGGCCCTGTGCTCATTAGGACAGTTTTTCAGAACTATTCCTGGAACTTAAAATCAGAAGCCCATTTCTAAGTGGCTATCTCTTCATTGCATGTTTTCTTTTGTTGATCCTACTGTTCATTTGTTTTGGCTCAGATCTCTGAACGAACAAATGAGCATCGTTTCTCTAGGAAAATGCCCCATTGATGTAGGTAATACATTCATAGAGCTGTCCTTTAAGACCTAGTGTTATATAATTATATTTTGCCAATAACATCAATATTTTTTTTCTGTGTGGAATGAATCTTAATTTGGAGATTGTTAAAAATGAAAATTCATTAGTGAAGGAGTTACCTAGTGTTACAGACAGAAAATGGTGATGTTTTATTTTATTAAGATTTACAGAGCCCCTCTGTGTGCCAGACACTACATTAGATGCTGTGGAAGGTTTGCAGACCCTGTGCTCCTGGAACTCACAGTCAGGAGAGTGACCTAGTGAAATCACCAGCCCTTGGAGTCTGTGCTTGGTGATACTTCAGATTTCCCTTCTCATTTAATGATAAGTTGTAACAGTGGGTGATGACACTGGGAAACACTTTGTAATTTCATGGACACTACAAAATTAGCTGATTTGAATAGGCTGGACTTTCCATTCTACATTTGTGTTTTCGTGCATGCAGGTTTAGTATTATTTCCACACCTATCTTTAGTCCCATCTCTAATATTTTATTTTAGTCACATTTCTGTGTTTGATTACACGACATCATTTTTGTGTGTCTGAAAGACACACAAATCTAACAGGTCAAAGAACTGAGTTCATCTCTTTGTTTTCTAGGTTCTCAGTCACTTCTTTCTGGCTACTATGAAGCATCATGCAAATGGTCCCAAATCCCAAGTCATTTTCAAATACTCTCTTAATAGAGACCTCAGTAAGGTCTCTTAATTTACTATGTGATGCTACTGAGATCTATTGCTTCTTCCCTCACTATATTTCTCTTAAGTATCCATTTCATTTCATTGTCATGGCTCAGATTTTTAGCTTTCCCTCTTCCTGCTTGGATTTTACAATAATCTGAACACTACTCCATTTACTCTCTACCTCTCTCTAATTCAGTAATCGGAATAATTACCTTTAAATTTTTAATTTTCAGCTTTATTGAGGCATAATTGACAAATAAAGATTATAAACATTTATTGGGTGCAGCACAATGTTTTAACATATAAATACATCACGGAGTGATTACCACAGCCTTCACCTACCAGTGATGCCCATTTTACCGTCCTCATTTAACAATTCTCTTCTGCTTGAACCCGTTCCTTCAGCCTGGCTAATTTATTTTCCCACCTCCTCTTCATTCTGTACCCTTTGTATTTCTTTCCACACCATTTGGAATACTTTCCTAGCCTTATTCATATCTCTATCATTTTAAGTCAAGCCTTTTGTCCTAACCTTTCCCAAAACTGACCTTATTAAGAAAACGTTCATTTATTGACTTTATGCAATGCATGTTTGATACATATCATATATAAAGATTTTAGTA